TCCCTCCCTCCCTCCCTCCCCCCTTCCTCTCTCTCTCTCTCTGATTTTTTTGAGACAGGGTTTCTCTGTGTAGCCTTGGCTGCCCTGGAACTCACTCTGTAGCCCAGGCTGGCCTTGAACTCACAGAGACCCACCTGCCTCTGCCTCCCGAGTGCTGGGATTAAAGGTGTGTCACCACCACTGGTCTGATATACTAGTAGTACCTCCTAGAGCTTCCCAAACAGCACCACCATCTGAGAAGTACGTATTCAAATGTCTGAGCCTATGGGGGACATTTCTCTCTCGGCTGTGGGTGCAGTGTGACCGGCTGCCTCATGTTTCTGCCACCTTGCTGTCCCCAGCATGATGAAATGTATCCTCAGACTGCGAGCCAAAGGAAACTCTTCCTTCCTTAATTGACTTTCATTCTGTATTTTATCACAGCAATAAAATAAGTACAGGTGGACATGGTGACCAGTAAAAGGATACTGCACACGAATGTTCTCTGTATGAGGAATTTATTATCTAAACAGAGGATCAGAGGTCAACAGGAGACTGACATCTATCTGAAAGATAACTGCTGTTGATTGTTTGAAGGGTTGAGTGTGTTTCCTATAATAATTTTGAAAGTGTGTTTCTTCTGCTTGTATGTCTGTGCACCATACCCATGCCTAGTGCCCTTGGAGGCCAGAAGACAGTGTTAGATCCCCTAGGACTGGAGTTACAGATAGTTATCAGCTGCCTTGTGGATGCTGGGAATTGAACCCAGGTCCTTTGGAAAAGCAGCCAGGGCTCTTGACTGATGGATGAGTCCTCTCCAGCTCTGGTTTTGAGTTTTTTCTAAAGGAAAGCCATAGATTCCCTCCAAATAGGGTCATCTGACATACGAATACCTTTCCCCACAGAGGATACCAGTGGCTAATAGAAAATAGAACCAGCTAAATAATGAAGACCTTTTTGCTTCTTCTCTTAAAATTTGAGATACAGTCTCACCATCTAGACCAGGCTAGCCTTGAACTTGTAGCAATACTACTGCCTCAGTATCCCAAGTGCTGGGATTCTGGGCACACACCACCAGGCTCACCCTCTGCTTCTTGGGTTCTTCTTTCTCCTCTTCCTCTCAGCCAAGGAGCCACAGTGAGCAGCAGATGGAGTCGGGTGCGGCTGGAACAAAAACTGTGTTCTCCTTCCTCATTGCAGGTTACTAAGACCCAGGAGTGCTGACCTAGATTGTAGGTGGGAGAGGCATGAAGGAGCGAAGGTTGGATACTAAAGAAGATTAAAGCCTAAACATCGCCTGCAGACAGCACCTGTGATCAAACGGGAAGCGTGCCGGGAGTGGGG